CTTTCCCTTAAAGGTGGGCACTATATTTGCCGTCTTCCAAACATACAGGACCTCTTCCAATCACTAGGAGTTTTCAAATATAATGGCCAGTGGCTCTGTAATCATGTCACCCAGCTCCCTAAGCACCCTCAAGTGCACCATGTCTGGCCCAGCTTTTCTACATAGTCCCTAACCTGTTCTTTTGACTCTGTTGGTTGCTTACCTCCTCCCCAGCTAGGTGCAGTAGTCTGGGAGCTATCCTTGCCTGTGGAGACAGGTAAAAAAGGCACTGAGGTATAAAAGTTTTTTTTTCTGCATTTTCTGTACCTAGGTCACCTCCCCCATTCAATAAGGGTACCCGTACTTTACCTGATCTTCTTCTTGTTACTGATATACTTGTAGAAACCCTTGTTACTCTTCATGTCCCTTGCTGGCTGCAGCTCTGCACTCCAACTGCACCTTGGCCTTTCTGATTTCATCCCTGCACGTCCAAGCAATAGTCTTATGCTCTTCCCTAGTCTTTTGTCCGAGTTTCTGCTTCTTGTAAGCTTACCTTTTGTGTTTTAACTCTATGAAGAGTTCCCTGCTAAGCCAAGCTGGCTGTCTTCTGTCATACTTGCTAATCTTCCTATGCATTGGGAAGGTTTGTTCCTGCACCCTCAGTAAGGTTCTTTTAAAGTACAATCAACTGCCCTGGACTCCTTTCCCCTTAGACTGGCCTCCCAGGGGATCCTGCCCATCATTTCCCACCTGCCTGACATCTGCTTTTCTAAAGTCCAGAGCCCTTACTGTGCTACTCTCCTTCCTTTCTTTCCTCAGCTTCCTGAATGCAATCAACTCTTGGTTACTGCTGCCCAAGTTGAATTGACTACTACATTCCCTACCATATTTTCCCTGTTTGTGAGGAGCAGAGTAAGAAGAGCATGGTCTCTAGTTGGCCACTCCAACACTTGCACCAAGAAGTTTTCTCCAATGCTCTCCAAAAACTTCCTGGATTACCTGTGTACTGCTGTATTGCCTTGCTAGCAGATGTTAGAGTAACTGACATCCCTCAGGAGAACCAAGAACTGTGATCTGGAAACTTCTGCTAGCTCAGTGCTTCCCACCCTTTTCCTCAGCATGACCCCATTTAAACACTGGAATTTTTTTTGTGACCCTGAACAGTCCCTTGCAGGCTGAGGCTCTGCCAGCCTGCAAGGGGAATCCGCCATTTCCTGATTTTTTTTTTTTTTTTTCTGTGATTTTCATCATAATTGGTCAACACCATCGTATGTCTTTGTGACTGCATTTTTTATCATTGTGACCCCAAATGGGGTTGTGACCTCAAGGTTGGGAACTGCTTTGCTAGATATTTGAAGACAGCCTCATCCACCTCATCCTTCTGGTCTGGTGGTCTATAGCAGACAGATACCCATCATGACATCACGTTTGTTGCTCTCTCCTTTGACCCTAACTCAGAGATTTTCAACAGGCCTGTCTCTGGACCTCTGAGCAGTCGCACACTTCCTTTACAAAAAGAGCCACTCCTCCTCTTATCCTCTGCCTGTCCTTCATGAAAAGTTTGTACCCATCCATGACACGACTCCAGTCATGCGAGCTAGCCATCAAGTCTCTGTTATTCTAGTCACATCATAGTTCCGGGACTGTGTAAGGATTCCAATTCTTCCTGCCTGTTTCCCTGGCTCAGTGCATTCATGTACAGGCACCCAAGGTAACTAGCTCATTGCCTTACTATCTCAGAAGGAATGAGAAGGCCTCCTTTGTTGTCCCTTCCTGCTTTTGCCTCCTCCAGGTCACTCACCACCCAATGCATCCCAAGGCTTGATTTCCAGCCCTTGGCAAACCTAGTTTACAGTCCTCCTCAACAGGTTAGCAAGTCTGTCTGCAAAGATGCTCTTCCCCCTTTTTCTCAGGTGTATCCCATCTCTTCCTCGCAGTCTTTCTTGGAACAACATCCCATGGTCAAAGACAGCAAAGCCCTGCTGGCAACATCTGCCCAGTCATGCATTGATCTGCAGGATGTGTCCACTCTTGTCTGACCCCTTCCCCTTGACCAGAAGGATTGAGGAGAACAACACCTGAGTCCCCTTCCCCTTCACCCTTGGACCCAGAGCCCTGTAGTCACTGTTTACCTGCTCAAGATTGCTCCTAGTAGTATCATTGGTACTCACATGGATAAGCAGCATGGATTAGTTGTCAGAAGGCAGTATGAACAGTACATACTGAAGAAAATGAAATCCAAGGTATTACAAACCCCACAATATTGTCTCCTAGAAAATTAGATGTAAACTGTTTGCCAATATCCTTTTAAATATTCTGTTTGTTTTACTGAGTAATCTGCTATACTTTTCTTCTATTTAATAATCAGAGAGGTGTAGAGACTCATTAATTACATGAAAATAGAGTACTAGCTTACCAGGTGCTTCAGTTTTTCATGAGAACAGAGATATAATAAAGAGATTAAAGGGTCTAATTTTCACTTATAATGAGACTTTTTCTAAACAAGTCTGACAGGATATGTTTTAAAAGGGGACAAAAATAAACCTATGGGTACAGGGGTGGATGGGGGGGGGGACGGGGCGGGGGGGAGGGACTGGTGCACTTACACATCACCTACCCCTTTGATTTCTGGCCCACACAAAGTTTCTAGTTTATTTTTAACTGGAGAAAAAAAAGTGTGCTTTTTTTTTTTAAAGTGACAATGTACCTCATCATGTGCACCCCGCTCTTTAAAATTTTAGATCTGCCCATGTATGGGTATGTCTACCTGTGTTGAGGATTGCTACCAAAAAACAAGGTCATGCCACCCAATTCCAGTTTTTACCTACAGGTGCTAAGAATGCTTTGGGGATATGTCTTGATCTCCAGTCCCTGTTGACTTCAGCAGAGCTACTTACACATTTCAGTTGAGTATGTAGCCGACTACTTTGCTAAGGCATCAGTGCCACATTTTGTGCATCCTAACCTATCAGATTGACTTCTGCAGGATAGCTAGGGTGTATCCCTTTCCTGTAACTGCATGGTATGGACAGTGTCCAGGTTGGTAAGAAATGTGGATTTCAGTTCCGTCATGTTGCTGAAGGAGTTCACCTTGCATCTTTCACATCCTGGATAAAGCAGTAACCATTAAGTTATGGCATAAAATAGGAAAGCCAGAGCTGCTACCTCCTTCCATCTTTTAAAAAAGGCAGTGGTTGCCAGTGTACCATGAGGAGACCAATCCTTCTGGTATGTGTTAGTGCTCTGAGACTGCCTACTGAATCTAGCCTTTCAGAGGACTGGGACATGTTTGTCCACCTACTTTCTACAACTGGATTGGGACTAGTTTGGAGATTTGTACCAATCTGTTTAGCTATGTCAGGGGAGGAGTTTCTGGATGTGCACAGAAGAGTATGTAAAC